CCCCCCCCTCCCCGCCCGTCCCCAGAGTCCTCCTCCTACGGCACCGAGTTCGGCTTCAATGACATCTTCAACTCCACCTTCCAGCCGGTGACCACCTCGGTCCGCTGGGTGTCCGGCAGTGTGTCCACTCACCGTGACGCCTCCGGCAACATCATGCTGACCCGCTTCCCGACTGTCGAGCCCGAGGTTTTCCTCGAGGCCGCCTCCGTCATCAACGTGCGTCTTCCTCCGGCTTTCTTGCCGTCTCTCGCTCTCGCTCTCCCCATGTGTTTCCCCCCCCCCCCCCCCTCCTCCCACTCTCCTTCCCCTCCACTGACCCCCGCGCCCTTGCGCATCATGCACCCAGCCCGACACCAACGAGCCCCTGAGCTTCTTCAACTACTGGATCTCCCCGGACGAGCAGTTCGTCCTGCTGGCCACCGAGCGTGTCGGCGTCTGGCGCCACTCCTTCACCGCCTTCTACTTCGTGCACTCCATGGTCGATGGCACCACGCGTAAGCTGGATGCCGAGCGCCTGCAGCACGTCTCCTGGGCCCCGACCGGGCACCGCCTGGTTTTCGTCAAGGGCAACGACATCTTCCTGCTGAAGGATGTGTCCGGGAACCTGAGCGACACCGATCGCGTGACTCACGATGGCAGCCTCAACATCCTCAACGGTGTGCCCAGCTGGGTGTACGAGGAGCAGGTCTTCGGCCATGCGCACTCCATCTGGTGGAATACCGACGGGACCCAGTTCGCCTTCATGCGCTCCGATGAGACCGACGTGCCGACCTTCCACCTGACTCGCTACGGCAACACCGACTACCCGTCCCACACGCCGGTCAAGTACCCGAAGGTCGGCTACCCGAACCCGATCGTCCAGATGAGCATCATGGACGTCGACTCCGGCACCATTGCCAATGTGGACTTCGAGCGTGATGACGAGTTCATCATCGTCGATGTGGCCTGGTCCAACCCGGCTCGCATGGTTGTCCGTGTGACCGACCGCATCCAGACCCAGGCCGACCTGTACACCGTGTCGCACGAGCGCCCGACCGCGCAGCAGATCTCCTCCCAGGCCCGGGCCAAGGGTTGGGTCGACTACTTCTCCATCCTCACGGTCCCGGCCACCGATGCCGCGGCCGAGCGCTACGTCGACATCATCGAGGTCAATGGGTACAACCATCTGGCCCTCTTCTCCTTCGACAGCCCGAAGCCCGTGCGCCACCTGACCTCCGGCGAGTGGGAGGTCACCGCCTATGCGGCCTTCGACCCGGAGACCGGCACCATCTTCTACTTCAGCACGGAGAACGGGGCCATCGAGCGCAACCTCTACTCCGTCAACCTGGACGCCTCCATTCCCAAGCGCCACATCACCGCCGAGCAGCCCGGCTGGTACACGGCCTCCTTCAGCCCGGATGCCAAGTTCTACCTGCTGAACTACCGCGGCCCGTCGGTTCCCACCCAGCATATCTACTCGACCGCCGACCCGGCCTTCCGCCATGTGGTCCAGGAGAACCGCGCCCTGGCGGAGCTCCTGTCCACGTATGCCATGCCGCAGGTGCACTACACCAAGCTGCGCATCGGGGACTACGATCTGGATGTGTCCCTCACCGCGCCGGCCGGCTTCGACTTCAACAGCTCCAAGAAGCACCCGATGCTGCTGCATGTGTATGGTGGCCCCGACTCGCAGATGGTCACCCGGGAGTTCCCGGCCAACGACTGGCACACCTACCTGGTGTCCTCGCTGGGGTACATCATTGTCCGGGCTGACGCTCGCGGCACTCGTGGCCGTGGCAATGTCTTCAAGAACTCCGTCTACCTGAACCTCGGTGACTATGAGGTGGCCGACCAGATTGCCGTTGCCGAGCACTTCTCCAAGGCCCGCTACGTTGACCCGAAGCGTGTCTTTGTTTGGGGCTGGTCCTATGGCGGTTACATGACCTCCAAGATCCTGGAGCGTGATGCCGGCTCCATCATCCGCAAGGGTGTTGCCGTGGCCCCGGTCACCGACTGGCGCTTCTATGGTGCGTTTCCCCTTGGCTTTTCATTTGTGCCTGTTGTGTCTTCTTGGTGTTGTCCTTCTGTTTTCTTCCCTCCCTCTCTCCCCCTATCTTTCGCCTCCTTGCACACACACACACACACATGCACACGCACGCACACGCACGCACAGCCTGACACCCAACCTTTTCTCGGCCCCTCTCCCTCCCAGACACCATCTACACCGAGCGCTTCATGTCCACCCCGCAGCTGAACGGCGAGAAGTACAAGTCCTCGGCCCTGACCAAGTTCGACTCGTTCAAGAACGTCGACTACTTCCTCATCCATGGCACTGATGATGACAATGTCCACTTCCAGCAGGCCGTCGTCTTCTCCAACAACCTGACCCAGGCGTCGGTCCGTTTCGAGCAGCACTACTACACCGACAGTGACCATCGCGTCAACACCGGTGCCCGCACCCAGCCCGATCTCTATTCTCGTATCACCGACTTCCTCGAGGAGAAGGTCGGCGTCGCTGAGGAGCTCTAAGCGATCTCCCCTCTCCCCCCCCCCCTCCCTTGTGTCTGTCTGCGTGTATGTTTGTATGCATACATGCAACGGTCGTACATATATTCTTCTTCCCCTTTGTTTGTCCTCTTTGTTGCTCCGTCGGGGGCTGGTGGGGAGCGGCATGTGTATGTGCGTGTGGGTTGTGGGAATTTTTGCCCTCTGTGCATGCCTGGTGTATGGGCAACCTCCTTTTCTGCTCTCTACCGGGAGGACGGCTCGTACGCCAGCGCCTCCCCCCCCCTCCTCCCAGCGGGAGTGCCGAGGGCGAGGAGGCTCAGCCTCCCCACTGGCGGCGGGTGGCTGTCCATGCATGCAGCCCTGGTGAGCTCCTGGCTCCCTCTCCCCACTTCTCGGAAGCAAACATACATCCCTGAATCGGACCCCGTGCCCTGCCCCTTTTGTTGCCGGTCCTCTGGCCCTCGGGTTTCTTCATCTGTGCCCCCTTCTTTTGGGAGCCAAGTCCACCAAGGCACATCTCTGAGCCCTCCCCTCCCTGTGGCTCTCCTGCCGCGTTGTCGCCCCCCCCCCCCTCCCCCCCTCCTCTCCAGGTGCGACCCGATATTCGCCCTGCTCTCTCTCTCTGTCTGGACAACGAAATATATTACAAATGTGAAAGCATATCTGTGCGCACTGAGGAGGAAGGGGGCGGCGGCGAAGGGGAGGAAGAGGCACATGCTCGCCGGGGGACAGAGAGGAGGGGGCGCAGCCCGCCCTCCTTCCTCACCTGGCTGCTGGAGCGCTCTCAGCCCCCGCTCTGCTCGACTCTCTCTCTTTAGGCGGACACGCTGACCACTTCCGAGCCATCGTTGGAGGTGATGCGGGCGCTGACCGAGCCGGCGCGGTCAACCGACAGGAGAAGGTTGACCTCCGGGCCAGCCGAGGCGGGGATCATGATGTCGAGAGCGGAGGTGTTCTCGGCGGCGGTCTCGGAGTCGCCGGCTGTGCAGATGCGAGAAGGGGGGAGGGAGAGAGACAGGGAGTCAGCACAGGCGCGGGGAGGGATGACCAACAGGCTATCGCATGGGGAGAGCATGTGACGGAGAGCAAAAAAATACCCCCCCCCCCAGGGGGTCGGCCAACACACAGGTACCCCCACCCCCACCAAAGTACGCACCAACAATCGACAGGATGCTGGCCTTGTCGTCGCCGGCCACCTCGCAGGTGACAGAGATGGCCACAGGGACGGCAGTGCCGGCCGGCAGGAGCGGGACGAACTTGCCATCGGCGCCAGCCAGGCCGACAGCCTTGGTCAGGGCGCGCAGCTCGTTGTCAGCGCAGACGGTGGGCAGCTCGGGGAGCGGCTCGTCGGCGGCCGGCTTCAGCTGGTCAAACAGGTGGAAGGCATGGAGGGCAGCACCACGGGCCACGGTCTCCTGGGGGTTGTTCTGCTCGCGAATGACGGGGACGCCCTCGCCGAAGAGCTCGGAGAACTTGCGCTGGACCAGGGGGATGGCCGAGCCACCACCGGTGAGGATCACACGCTGGATGGACTTCAGGGGGATGTTGCTCACGGTGAGGAAGCTGTCCACCGAGTTGAGGAGGGACTGGATCATGGGGGCTACGCGGTGGGTGGGGGGGTGATGATGATGAAACGAGGACGCGCACGTGGAAGAGAGGTTAGTTTGGCCGGCGCAGGGAGACATACACACAAAAGGGGACACACACGCATGTGTGACACTCCCCCCCCCCCCCCTTCCTCCCCGGTGGTTGCCCTTGCTGCACACTTCGACCGGAGGGTGGTGGGTTGACGCACTGATCAGGACCTCGAAGTGAGAGCGGGACATGTTGGAGCCGGCGAAGTCCATGCCGTCATGGAGAGACTCCACGAAGACCGGGGCGGTGGTCGACTGGGAGAGGGTGCGCTTGATGCGCTCGCACTCCATGCGCAGCTTGATCATGGCGCGGCGGTTGTCGCTGATGTCGGCCAGCTTGCGGGAGATGTCGCGCAGGAGGTGGTTGGCCAGGAGGTCGTCCAGAGCGCGGGCGCCGGTGGCGGTGTCGACCTTGGAAGCGACAATCTGCATTCGTACGCGCGCGTGTGCGTGTGCGTGTGCGTGTATGTGCACGGTGGTATCCGAGAGGAGGGGAGGGGGGGGGGGAGAGGCTTAGTCCATGTCGCGGAGCGAGGGGGGTGGCGAGGGAAAGACGCCGGGGGCCCACACCCGGCCATGCAATGCAAGCAGACGCACCTCGAAGGTCTCGCCAACATAGCGGCGCAGGACAGTGGTGCTGACGGACGAGCCGCCGAAGTCGAAGACCAGGATGTTCTCCGGCTCGGCGGACACCAGGGGCTCCTCGTCCAGGAGGGCCAGAGCCGCGGCGGCGGGCTCGCTAATCAGGGCGCTGAGCTTGAGGCCACACTTGTCGGCGGCCGAGCGAATGGCGGCCAGCTGGACCTCGGTCAGGTTGGTGGGGACAGACAGGACCGCCTCGCGAACGATGGAGCTCAGGATGCCTGGCAGGCCGGGCAGGGGGGGGGGGGGGG